AGTACACCTTCTGAGTCCCAGGCGTTCATGAGCCAGGAGCTCAGGCCACGCCTGACCGCGTCCACCTGCAAAAAGTCCAAGCGCAGATTCTCCTAGGGTCAAGTAGTTCCCTGGAAATCGCCAAATGGACCTGTTGAGGGTCCAGAGAAGCTGACCTGGTGCTTTGGCTTTGGCTTCGGCTTGCTCCGGACATCTCCGGGCTGCTTCTGACTGCTTATTCCTTCTGAGGTGCCCACCCAGGAAGAAGCTCTTCTTCACTCTGGGCCTTATGTGTCGGCCATGTCGCTTCCCATGTCGCTTCCTGTCCTACTGCAAACGTCAAGATTGCAAAGGCCCCGACGTCCAGCATCCAGCTTGGATTGTCATGGCTGCTTGCATGCACTTCGTCACGAGCCTGGACACAAACCAGAACTAGAGATGCAAGCATTACCTCCTGGATCAGCCTCCGCTGGCCGTGCACTTCGATACTGATTCAGGGACTTTTTGAGAGAGTGCAACTCTCAGCACACAAACAAAAGAGACCCACCCGAATGACACAGCTGCGCACATGGCAAGAGAACAGCACGCAGAGAAAACCTGGAAGTCGCTACGATGTCAAGGTACGTGACTTGAGCGCAAGCAGCAAGTGACGAGAACCTGATTAGGATCCCGCCGTGCCTGCTGCAGTGCCGGTGTAGACTTGATCCCTACATTGCTCTCTTCTTTCGCTGCACCGGCACCATCTTCGTCCTCTTCTTCCTCCTCCTCTAGCGCGTCCTGGCCGGTGGCACGAGCAAGAAGATGATTCGACAGAGCGCAAACCATACCACTAGGATGAGACTGGCACAATCCATCTGCGAAAAAGTCTTGGCTTGGAATTAAGTGCCTCTTTAGAAAATCACCGGCTGTACCTAAATGTACAGCTCGTGGCTCTCCTCTTCTGCCACTCTTGCATTGGGCCCCTCTTTCCGTTGTCGTCGCGTCGCGTTCTAATCTTTTGTTGCACCGGTGGTGCGTGCTTTCTGGCACGCTGTTCTTTGTCACTGCCATTTATTATGCACGGCATTTAACACCTCAAATCCTCACATCTGAAGGACAACAGGATATCGCAGTCCCAAGCCGCATCGACAAGTGTAGTATCATTCGGGTTGGTAGAAGTCGGCGCAGCCGGGGTGAGGCACAATGAGCGGTGGACTTCCAAGCTTGGTCAGACAAAAAGAACCGCATGCAGGAAAGCAAAACTGAAAAAGCTACAGCTGAGCCTTCTTGCTGTGTCGCCGTCGCTGCAGCGACCTTCTGGCAACAGCATAGTCACAGTCAGCTCAATTCTCCAAGGCACAGGAGAAAGTCCAGGAGTGCGGCTGTAGCATGAGCTGTTGAGGCTGTATAGGCGCCTGCAAGCTTTATGTGCAAGCAGATCTGAGCGATGCAAACCCTCGAGCAAAGGCCAACAATGCCTGTCCCATCCCACCGCTTTGACCAAACATTGTCTCGAGCATGGAGAACACCTGAAACTTTGCAAACAAAGCCAAGAGTTTGCATGCATGTGGCTTCATCTTCAAGTCGACGCTGACATGCCAGAAAGATTGCGGAGTCCCTGCAACGCAACTGTTCAACGGTGTTTGCAGAAGCCAGGAGCCCGGCGATGATCACTACGCTCACGAAGAGCGTACATTCTATAAGCCTGCAACTGGCAAAACACACGAACCCGTCGCCAATGGACTGCATGTGAAAATGCATCTGCTTTTGCGTGCCTCTTCGCTGTCAGCCCACGTCCATTTTGTGGCATATCACATCAAGAAGATTTGGGAAGTGCCCTGTTCCGTGTTCCTTTTCGGCTGCCAACCTTTCAAGTTCCGCTGAAATACTGATTTGTACGCTCAGGCATGGCAAGCAAACATCGTTGTCGCCAGCATCCTGCAAAAACGCTCTAAGGACTGCTGCTGGTAGACAGAACAACGTGTGAAGGGGGGCACTATGTCTTCATCCACACTGGCCAGGTGCTGTGCTGATTGGACCGGACTACTGGCGCTGCTGCCTGAGCCAAAATTCCGTGATACCATGATCCATCTGTATGCATCTATCTGCATGAGGGCAGCGTCGAAGCAACAATCCCTGAAGATCCCTGAAGCGGCCTGTAGACCTGGGCTGCCAAGATCTGAGCCCTGTTCGAAAGATCCTGGATAGCAACGCTGGCTCCGTGCTGTAAGCCCCCGGAAGAACAAGCCAGGCGCCTGGGAATTAAGCCGGGATATGATACGCAGGGAGGCCTCACCTTAAGTCCGTTCGCATGGCTGCTGAGCATTCAGGCTGGGCATGTAGATGTGAATGTGCGAGATCACCATCAACTTGAATTGAACATTTAAAGGCGAAGCCAATCAGCTCCAGAAGAGTCTGGTCGGGCCAGGAAGCAACCTGCTCATGTTCACGCCAGACTCATCGATGCTGTCGGTGGCTCCTGGCCTGGAAGTTCCAACCGCTGTTGGCCAAATCCGTCCTCAATGGCGTGGACCACTGAGCACCAAAAGTGTAAGCTTGAAATTCTGAATCAAAGCGCAGCGCGCGTTGGGCATGTGAAGCTTGCCGGCACCAGATGAAGAAGTTGATTCTGGCAAGGCAATGGAAACCGGCGTCCGCGCATGAGGAAACATCGGATCCCACACATCCCCACACAAGAAGACACAAGTCCAGATCAACGGAAATGTAAACCCTAGAGAATATGCATCCCGACTCAGCTGGCAAGTGGATTGCAGTGCTAAGAGTCTTCCAACACCCGATGCTCAAGCAATCCCTTGTGAAAATCGCATAGATGCGCCGCTAGGCCCCATCACTGTGGCCTGTAGTGGCGCCGCCCTTCCATCTAAGTGTGGCCTCAGTGAACCCTCCCCTTACCGTCAGGCGACTCCAAAAAGATTACTCAACCGTCATTCATCAAGGATCGGCAGATCGGCAGGCTGCTTAGGGCCGGAACACATGCCTGGGCAGTGTTTGCAAGCTCCTGGGGCCTCAGAGGACATGCAGTGGAAGGCAGCCCGTATTCAAGAAGCACCCCTTGGGCAGTTGCCGAAGCGAGTCCTGCCAGCATCAGCCCAAAAGCTTGAGATATACCCCCCACTCCAGAGAAGTGGCAGGTCCCCGAAAAATCTGCCCGGGACAACACACATGTGCAGGGGGTGCTGGACCACTCTGACAGATCCGCAGTCGCTTGGTACAGTATCTGGACATACACTAGTATACCGCACTATGCCCAAAAAGTCATGTTGCGGGGCTCATTTCTTGATCCACACCCCAAACTCACAGAAATAGACGTGGGAGAGTGGGAAAATGAGCAAGGCGGAGAGTGACTCCCCCTAGGGGTGTCTTGAGATGTTTGCTGCTAATCATTGTGCATGGTCCTGGATTTACACGAACCTCCAGGTCGTTGCTTCCTCCGCTTGCTGATCTCTCCAGACCGCGGATCTGGATGTTCACAGAATACTCGCTGCCTCCTTTGAAGAAACCAAGCAGTGAGAAGGCCAGCCGACACAAACAACATGGCTCCTGTGGCCGCAGTCGAGGGGAATGCTCACAAAGTTGCCCCGAGATAGCGACGAAAGGGGCAGCATGTCACTGCCGCGCCTTTGCCGTTGCCTGCACAGCCTTTGCCAAATCTTTGGCTTCAAAGTACGCAACCTTCTCGGCAACTGCACCTGCTCACAGGTATCACATCCATTTGCTTATGCAGCTAGCACCACAGAACCTCTGAGTTCTTGCAGCAGTTGCTCCTCCTGCAAACGGAAGCGGGCCAAAGCTTGCAGTGCGCTTGCCACATCCTCGCAGAAGAGGAACAAAACTCACAACTTTGCAAAAGTGCCGCACATGGCAACAAACGCTGCGGGCACCTGTGGGGCTAAAAGCGCAGCTGCTGGGATGGCACTGACGAGTGAGGTGGCGTACGCGAGATCAGCATTCCTGCCAGCAGCCAGCAGCGGGCAACCCGGCAACCCATCAAAGAACCGTTCAACCCTCCCCTTCTGCTCTTTGCATGTTCCAATGCCATTCTAGCCTTGATCGGCTCCGCAGGGCAGCCTGCCGCAGCTCTGCAACGGAGCTGCAGCTGCCGAAGGGACTTTTGCCTCTGCATGGCGAGGCTTCACGCGGCTTGACGCGTCTTGACAGTGGAAGCTGCTAAGTCTAAGTGTCGGACCTGACGGTTTGCTCAATGTTGCATCGTGCTTGCTCAATGTTGCATCGTGCTCTGCGGCCTCCTTCCCGGGCTCCATACGTAATTGTCAAGCCCTTCTACTGTCACCGGCGAAGTAGCCACATAAGCTCCTTTGCTGACCCAGCCACAGCGCGGTAGGTGCTGAGGAAGGCCAGCACCGCAGCATCTGCACTACCTTGATCTCAGATGCTGGAAAGCACAAAAAGGATGGAAGAGCTGGATCGGCAAAGTCACCCAGCCCTCCCTTCCCCTTCACTAGAACATATTTTGTGAAACGGTAAGGCTTCGTGGGTAAGCATCAGCTACTACACTCATGTGGGGAAGCCTTCTAGGGATCACTGATGAGCTGAAAGGCTGGGTCATTGCACCGGCCAGTTTATGCGGCAGCGCGTCAGCATTCGTGCGCACTTCTCAAAATGAATTAGCTGCTCGTCAGAATATGTCAGACTTGTCTGAGCATCTTGAAGCATGCATGCGGCGTGTTACAGCCTTGACCTCTTTCCGGAAACATAAGCGAGCTCAACGGGCCACAGGCATGCGCTTGCCATCAACCGGTTCAAATGTCAATCAACCGCCCACTAGTCAAGGCATAGAAGCAGACACTGATTTTCCCACGATTCGCTTACTTGCAGAAAGCAAGGAATGGGGTAGTCCGGTTGCGCTACCCACCTGGAGGCCACTTGGCCTCACAGGCGCTTTCCTCCGCTCAGGATTGCAGGTGACAGATTGGCCCTTAGCGAACACGTGACGCTGCAACCCCCTGAGACGCCTCAGAGGGCCCCAAGCAATCCAGCACAAGAGAGAAAACTGATCTGAACTAAGGCTCTGCATGTTTCTCTCGTACTTTTAGCGTGAAGGACCTCCATACTCCAGAGAAATGCCCACTCCGGAGAAGTCGTCGACATTCCTCAAAACATTGTCATAGACTCTGGCGAATCTGCCCGCTCAATAAAACTTTTGGATGATGCCGGCCTGGTCGAGCGCTTCTCCTTGCGAGTGCTCCTGTCCTCCATCCTGGCTCAGCCGGCAGCACTCCACCACATGTGGCGCGCGGACCTTGCTAAGACACGTCTTGCGAGGGAGGCATGCCAACGCACATGGGTTCATGATTTCGCTCTTGCTTGGCGCAGCACAATTACCGCGGGCAAGTGGGTACGCTTCAGAGCCTCAAGTGCGGCTTTATCACAGCAAGACAACATGTAACAGATGCTGCCGGCTAGTCACCGCTCTTTTGAAGATGTAGAAGTCCGGGTAAGGCCATTGGTGAGAGCTGGAGGCGGCCTGCTCTGGGCAAGGCATGATGTCACAGGTGGCAAGGGGTGCAAGGCCCATAGATAACGAAAAGCAAGCTTCCCTTGGGGAGTGGGTTTTGGGAAGGGTTGGCAAGCTCGGTCCTTGGGCTGGGTCTTGGATGGACGCGGTGGATGCCGGGCAGGGTCTGGGATCGACTGAGCGCAGGATGCTCCTCAGAATTTTGGTTGAGATTTGCATGGTCCGGAGCTGTTCGTAGACCAGTGGAGCATGTTGAGCGAAGCCTTTGCCGGGCTCGGCACCCGCACGGCCCTTCCCTTGTACTCAAATTTCAATGCATCGTTTCAAGTGCATTTGGGGGCCTTGTTCTGGTGCCGGATTTGCCAAGATAAACGTCGAAATGTCCGCTTTTGGGGTGGGCGGTTCGGGGGTGGTGGTGGCGGGCGGTTGGCCGTGACAAAGTATAAGCTTGTGAGGGGGTTGAGGTAAACGCGGAGCAAGTACCCCAATCGTTTGCAAACTGGCTTGTTCGCTTTCCGACCCAGGTTTGCACAAGCTGCGTCTTCGACTGGTTCTGGTGGTCAGTTCGGGAAGGGGCCCCGAATTTTATTGCCAATCTCTGGCTTGTTGGGTGGTCCTGGGACGAAAGCTAGAGCTGGCTGATCTGGATGAGAGGGTGGGAAGATTTAGATCTCGCGTCTGCTTTTGTCGCAGTTTGAACTCTGCGGCTGACCAAGAGACGGCTTCCGCAGGCTAAACAGGACGACCGTTTGGCGACCTGGCGCTGACATGTTAGCTGTTGCGACCCAGCTCGTGTTATCTCGTTTCGGCACATGATTTGATGCAGCGGCCGAACAGCAAGCTGCAAGCGTTGTCACCGACGGTCTGCTTCCCCTTGCCCACCTGGCCGGCATCTGATGTAAAGGATGACTTCTTTGCCTTTGGCCCCGTCGGGTAGTTGTCATCGTCTTCCTCATACATGCTTCGAGGTTCGCATGTCCGTCTTAATCACTTGTCCGACCACCACCCAGAAGTGCACATCACCAGACGTCTTTTCTGGGCAACGGCTACTACCTGGGTGGTCTTCACATGAGGATCGTCATCTCATTCCAGAGCTCATGTCTTGAGGCGTGAAACTATGAGCACCCGATCCGCTGCCCTGCCTGTCCATGAAGATATTTCAGAGCCTAGAAGAACGCGAAAGCACTAGATGCCACAGAATACTGTCAACGGCAAAAGTGAGCCACTACTGTAGGAGAACGGATTTCTACTATGCCAACGACGACAAGCACAACCACCATGACGAGGATTGCCACTACTGCCGTTGCTGCACCCATCTAGTGGCCATTCATCTAAAAGAACCAGGACTTGACTGGGAACATAGGCCTCACTGAAGATTACCCATCTGCATGCTCTGCTGGCTGTTTACTCAGGTACTGTTTGGATTACAGCGGAATGACTGAAGCAAGCAGTGCAGGGCAGACCTGCGCAAGCTTACCAAAATTCCATGTCACACGTCTGCCAGAAAAGGCTAGGTGTCCGCTGGTTCTTCAGCTTGCTGAACTTGCAAGATTGTTATCTGCCGAGTGTCGTTTCCGCTGCTCTGGTTGCTAGCTTATGCTGGCCCGCGCGTCATGGCCTCCACACTGCTCCACCAACTCCTCAGCACCGCGAAGTCAAGGAAGAAGAACCTTGCAATCCGCATTCCCCAGGCCGCACCATGCTTTGGGACAGCTTCACAACAGGAACGGAAGGTACAGAATGTCTAGTTTGCCTTGGCTCTCCTGCATCAACGCCTACTATTCCACCCCTGCTTTCTGCAGACAGGCAACCAGTCGCCAGCAACCGGAGACGGGTCGCTTTTGTAGGGGACAAAGATGCTGCCACAGGAGTAAGATGACAGGTGGATGTCGCGGAACAGAGCGACATCCGGTCGACTTCGGACTACACGACCTAGGCTTTCTGGATCTCTGCCGCTGTCCATCCGCTAGAACCAGCTTATTGAACTGATATCGCAAGAGGAGCGGCCATACTGCACACCGCTGGCTAGCACACGGTCAAAGCAAGTCCTCTCAAGTCAGACACACATTCAGATGCACGTATAACTTTAACCCTGCTTCTGCTCCCATCTACATGTGCTCGCCCAAGGTAGCACTCCTCAACCAACGGATCTGGGAATTGGAAGCATGGTCCCAGCAGTTTGAATACGTTAACACCTGCAGAAACATCAGCACTTTCCATTTCTTCTGCTTCTTCTTCGACTTCTTCTTCTTCTTCTGCTTCTTCTGCCTCCTCTTCTGCCTCCTCTTCTTCTTCTTCTTCTTCGTTTTCTTGCTCGTTTCGTTGTTTTGTTCTCAAGCCTCAGGGTTGTCCGCCCGTGTTTCCATCTTGGCTGGTGAATCACTGAATACCTTATAGGTGTGGATTGATGCCAGTTCCTTGGCTTCCATGCTTTGCGGTCCAGAATTTGTTGAATCCGAAGACCGTCAGCTGCAACTCTGGTGCGGCGCTGCTGGCTGATGACTTGCCCGTAAGTTCGCTGGTAGCTCCCTTCATGTCGAGCATGCCGTCATCATCCTCATCATCATCATCATCATCATCCTCATCATCGTCATCAGCAGCAACAGCAGAAATGGCGAGAGCAGCTGCAAAGCCCGCACGACATAGCATGAGCACAGTTGACATGACAACACGGGCAAACATTCTCAGCTAGCAGGCTGATGTTAGTCACTGCTGCTTGTAGAAAGGGGCCTACCATGAGAAACCGCCTGATTGTACACCAGGCAATTCAAGCTGGCACCCTGACAATCAGCACTGCGCGTCTTTCATTCAAACGTGCGTTCTTGCTTCTTCTTCTTCTTCTTCTTCTTGTTCCGCCTCCTCCTTGTCTTCTGTATCTTCCCTGTTCTTCTGCTTCTCAAGGCTTAAAGCTCCACAGTCCCGAACTCAATGGGTGAAAATAAAACAAAAGGTACGCGGCAGACCGCAAGCCTCAGATTGCAGACTGTACGACTAAGCCCGTAAGACTGGCAAACTAGCATCCAGGTAAGGGCTCAAGGAAACCCAGCGTCTCCTTGCCTGCGAACTGCATGCTACGGGCTAGAGCAGAAGAGTGGGACGTCGAAGTCACGAGTCGGCGTTTTTTGGGACATTGGGTTCGCCAAACACAGCGGCCAGGAAGTAGGGCAAAAACAAAGTATGTGAGCATTGCTGATCACAAGGGTTCCCTGTCCTCACTGATCATCCCTCGCTATGGCAAAACTGCAAGCCGTCATTTCGTTGCCGCCAGACCAAACAAGCCGCTGCTCACTTACAGGGAAGCTCAACACAAACGGCTCCAGTCCCCTCGAAAAGTTTTGGCAATCCGTGGCTTAATGCGACATTGGTTTTGCTGAGAGCAGCTGCAATTATTCCTGTTTGGTTTAGGTCACCGGTTTCCGTTCCTGCATCGCTGCCGTTAGCTGGGTCCTGTGACATGTTTATTGCTGTGTCCCTCCACTCACGCAATGTCATGCGCAGGAGGAGTGGAAGCGGGGGTTCTCTTTCATCGGTGGGGTTGGAAGCCGTTTCAATGAGGGGCTGAGCTGCTGCAATCGGATGTGCTGGCATCGCTCTTTGTCGCTGTCGAAGGGCGCGCTCTTTCCTCGGTCAGCTTGTCACTGCCATTCCACTTGCACAACCGCTGTCTAAAGCTACAACCTTTCCTGTCTCCGTCAGGCTTCGACGACTCCGCGTGGCTTCTCCTGGTCAACGATTCATCTGGCATCCAACGTCGCGATGTTGTTGGTCTTCTCTCCTTGCCCTGTTCTGAAGCTTTGTCGTCCATTGGCTTCAAGGCGTGCAAGGCTCCACGCAGTGCTTCAGATACGGCGCTGACCTCGTGTGTTCTTCGCAATGTCGGAGGAGTCGAAGAAAAAATGGTGGTCCGGATTGGGGCGTATCCATGCTCCGCCCCTCCGCTTCGTAGATTGCTTGTAAAGTGCTGGAAAGCATGGGGGTCCCCCGCTTGTTGTGCAAGATGCCGTAAAGCTTTGCCCAAATAGCAGGTTGGTAGTTTCTTTCTTTCGTGCGGGCTGAGGCACAGTCTTTCTCTCTTTTCTTCGGTGCCTTTCTTTCGTTCTTACGGGCATTGAATGACAAGTAAGCCTGCCCCTGCGCACCCGTGTTAGGCGCACCTCTTTGCCTTGCTTCGCGTACAGTGGATGAGCGCCGGCACCTCAACCACAGGTTCTTGCAGAACTTCGCGGTAAGGAGGTGGTGCCCCTCCAGCTCATCAGCAAGGATTTAAACCCATATTGCCCTAACCACACGACGCCACAACAGTAAAATATGCCGTGCTTTCTTTGCACATCCATGCCTCCCCCTCCTTTGCCTTGCTTTGCTTACAAGGGCTAAGTCAAAGGCGTTTGTCCATCTGAAGGTTCGACGCGGATGTCCCACATCTGTTTGCCGAGAGAGTTCTCACCCAAACTGAATCCGACTCTTAGAAGCTTAGCAGGTAGAACAGTGGAACCCAAATGAAACTGGGAGAGCTCCTAGCGTCTTCGGCAATCGCAGGACTTGGGTAAGTCCCTGGCTCCCCTCGGCACGCATCAACATCCTGCAACTTTGGAGTTAAAAGTTAAAAGGCCTCATGCTTCGCTTTTGCGCTGCGTATTAAGAAGTATGTCTGTGTTGAGGCAGGAAGTGCACACAAGCGCATGCACAGGGCTGCGGTCAAAATGTTTTTTTGCTTTGCTTTGCGAGAAAGGGATGGTGGTTGCCCACCGGCCTTTAGGCCCCGCCCACGGTTATCGCAACGTATTCGTGGAGGGCAATAAACGGTCGAAGAAACGGCTCATTACAGGACACCGGTTCAGCTGCACAGAACCCCATAAAACCACGGCTCTCATGCGACTAGCCCCAACAGCAAAGACATCGTGCACAGATTCCACAATGCGTACATCCATCCTAAACGGCTCGGCTCATCTGAATTTACTACTTCAAAATGTAACTGACCAAGGGTATCATGGTTCGCTGGCTTGTTCTCTGACTTGTATACTTTCCACTTTCCACGGCATGCAATTTTTTCAGAACTAGTGCCAGCGAAGACCCCAAACAGCATGGATGGAAAACGTGCAAATGAAAATTATACTTGGCGTTCAGCCCTTGTCCGATTTGAACGCGAAGAAAACAAAGGCGCAACAATTCAACAACTACAGAAAATACCTACGTAGCTATATAATCGCTTCCCCCTAATAA